GCTGAGACAGCAATAAGAGGATGCTCTCTTCAGCATGACTTATAGGTTAAGTATAATCCCATCAAAACAGGTAGACTTCTTAAAAATAGAAGTTGACTTCTTTTGTGGGATTGTGCACACATAAAGGTGTTGTCACTTTGGTAAACAGTTTCCAGGGTTTGGGATAATCTTGACTGTCAACTTGATAGGACATAGAATCACCTAGGCATGCCTCTGGCATGTGTGTTGGCCTTTTTTTTTCCCAGAGAGTTTTGACTAAGGGGGGAAGATCTATTTTGAAAATGGAAAGCACCTGCTCATTGATGGATCTCCTCCTGAGCTGGATAAATAGTAGAAAGCAAGTCCCATCATTCATTCGTCCCTTTGCTTGCCGGTTATAATACATGCCATGCTATCTAGGCCATTCAAACTCTGACTTGAAATAAACCCATCCTTTAGCGGCTTTCGTTGGGCATTTTCTCAGAGCAATAAGAAGAGTGGCTGACACACCGAGTCTTTCAAAAACTGCAAACACATTTGACACGTGGCTTAGCCACCCCATTTCTATTCCCAGCCACTTACGCAGCAGTAATGAACGTGCAGATTCTCACGGACATGCTGTGAGCGTCCACAGCAGCATTGGTCACAATAGCTCAAACTGGGAATGATACGCAGATCAGCGGCCAGTGAGAGATAAACTGTGGTACATCCTTTCAATGCTCTTCCTCTCAGTAAAGAACCACCGAAACATGTGCTTGCCCAGATGGACTACTGAATGTTGTGCCAAGGGAATGAAGCCAGACACAAAAGATCTTACTGTAGTATACTATTTACATGAATTTCGTAGAAAAGACAAATCCATAGATGGAAAAATATAATATTTTTTTTAATTGGGCCTGAAGTAGAAGCAGTATTTTTGGACTCATTATTATTATTATTATTATTTTTAGAGGCATATTATTATTTTTATTTTATTTACAATTCCAGTTGTAGCTCCCTCACTCATCTCCTCCTCCCAGTCCCACCCTTCCTCCCACATCCCTCTTCCCCAGTCCACTGATAGGGGAGGTCCTCCTCCCCTACTATCTGACCCTAGGCTATCAGGTGTCATCAGTGCTGTCTGGATCATCTTTCTCTTTGGCCTACTTGGGCCATCTCGCCAGGGGGAGGTGATCAAAGAGCAGGCAACCGAGTTCATGTCAGAGACTGTCTCTTCTCCCATTTTTATTATTTTAAAATGTGCATGTATGTGTGTGTGTGTGTGTGTGTGTGTGTGTGTGTGTGTGTGTACATATGAGTGTTAGTACCCTTGGAGGCCAGAAGCATTTGGTCTCCCTGGAGATGCAGTTATAGACAGATGTAATTTGGAAACTGAACTCTGGAAGATCAGTATGTGCTCCTAACTACTGAGCCATCTCTTCAGCTCATAAGCAGGCCTGGACTACAAACGTGTAGGAGGAACCTCTTTGGATGATGAGCAGATTTTTCTTTTTCTTTTTCTTTCTTTCTTTCTTTCTTTCTTTCTTTCTTTCTTTCTTTCTTTCTTTCTTTCTTTCTTTCTCTCTCTCTCTCTTTCTCTCTCTCTCTCTTTTTTGATGAGCAGATTTCTAAACTGGATATGTTAATAGCTCTTCAACTATATGGATGAATGTTAAAATAGGCACATTAGTAAAACTTTCCTAGGTGAGGTGACTGGGTGATTTAACTACGGAAAGAATAGATGGGAATGTTCAGATGAAGTTGTGGGAAATGGAGAACAACTCCTTGACTCTTACAGGAAACAACGGAATGTCCTATCAGTTTACAAGTGAAGGAACTAAGGGTTAGAAACTGGGAATATGCTCCGTGTTGCCAAGTCTTTGCTGAAGAAGGTTATATTTAAAAATATCAAAAAAAAAAAAAAAAAGAAAGATGAGGATGTCATACAGAGTTTTAAAAAGAAACAAAACCCATGATATTATTTATTTTTCTGGGCCTCATACAGATGAAAATCTTCTGTGGCTTTCTCCTTTTAGACCTGACTTGATGTTTTCAATGTTTTACCAGCCAAGTGGAGGGAGCTGGAGAATGCAGCATCGGCTGCTAAACTCATCAGCACATTTCAAAGTTTCTCAACCTTGAGATGACAGAGTACTGCTACAGAAGGGTTGATCTGGTTTGGTGTTTTGGCTTTAGCAACATCTACCATTTCAGGTACCAAGATGGGCAAGTTTAAACATTTACATGTTACGATAAAATAAGAAAATATTTTTTCACTCTCAAAGTATCATCTTTGCTATCGTGCTAAGTGCGGCCTCAGTCCTGGCAGCAGACGATTTCGGCCTAGAGACGGAACACTAATTTTCCACCTTTGGTGTACCAGAAGAAGCTGTGTTGCTTGTTTTACGTGCCGAGATCTGATTGTACTTTGGAATGAGATGCTGTGGCCCTGACCACTAAGAATAAACATGGCTGAGGCAAGACTTCATCAAAGGCAGCGCAGTGTCTGTGGCTACACAACGTGAGCGGAATGTGGGACATGATTGTATTCCTCTGATTTTAGAATTTTAATTGTGTTATCATAACTACCCATAAAAAGCCAACCAGGGCAAGCGAGGCATCACCACAGGACGGAAGCCACATCCTGGTGGCCTGTCTCCCAAGTCCCCTCTGCAGATGTGTTATTGTGTTTGGCTTTTAAAGTGTTTAAAGACTGTAGTATGTGTGTGTGTGTGTGCAATATTTTTCCATCTAGAAAACTCACAAAAAACAGTTAAATTTCCTCTTTTTTTAAAAATTTTATTTTATTAATTATATTTTATTCACTTTGTATCACCCCCATAAGCCCCTCTCTCCTCCCCTCCCGGCCCCTCCCTCCCTCCCTCTTCTTCACGCATGCCCCTCCCCAAGTCCACTGATAGGGGAGGTCCTCCTCTCCTTCCTTAAATTTCCTTTTTATTAAAAAAAAAAAAAAATCTGAGTCTCTACCTTAGGCATTTAATCCTTGTGTAACCATGGCAACTGTTACCAACTGTTAGGGGCTGCCTAACTCATTTATTGTTCCTGGTGGTCCTCAGATGCTTGAGACATTGCAACCTTGCAGATGGCATTGACTTTCCCAGTGAGGGCAGCATAAACGTCATTGGTTGCTTTGGGTTGCAGACAATACACTTATTCCATTCTTTGTTTCAGATTCAAGGCCACTTTGTAAAGTGTCTGTTGAGCTCTTTTAGAAATTTTGACGTGTATTTGGCCAGTTTCAGTGGAGCAAAACTTTGCCCTTCAATCCGGCTTCTGGAAACAGTCAAATTAAAAATTGAAACCAAGTTTGGGGCAAAAAAGCATGTTTGACTATGAAATAGTGAAAACCCTGTTTCTCGTGGGTGGTTTGTAAGATGACTCAGTGGTGACAATAATAAAAAATAAAGATTGCTTTCGGGGGTGGCTTTTTCTTCTGCTGTCACTCATTCATTCTACTAAATCTCTCATATTCTCTGTGTGTCTCTAGTATGTATAGGTGACTTGAGTGTCTATATGTAGATCCTTCTCTATTTGTTGATCCTATGTAATCCTGTTGCTTGACTGACACCCTTTGAGAGAGAGACATTTTATTACTTTTTCATATATATGGCATTCAAATATTGGAAGATTAATTATTGAATGTTTGAATGAATTAAGTCAGTACAAATGGAAAGTCTCCACATTGTTTTTAATTTACTTCCTCCCCTCCTCCTTCTCCTCCTCCTCTTCTTCCTCCAACTTCTCTTCTCCTCCTTCCCCTCTTCCTCCTTTTTCCTGTTCTCCTCTTCCTCCTTCTCCTCCTCCTTTTTGAGGGTGGCTCACGTTTTTTTGAGACAGGTTCTCACTAGTCTAGAATTTAGCAAGTAGGCAAGGCTGGCCGTAGATCCCCAAGGATTCATCTGTCTCTGCCTCCCAGCTTTGGAATTGCAAATTTAGGCTACAGGGCTTTTACTTGGAGTGTGGGATTTGCACCCAGGTCCTCATGCTTGCTAGCCCAGCACTTCATCTACTGGTTGATCTCTCCTGTCCAGTGTTGACAATTTTAAAGGAAACAAACCCAATTTACACCCGTCAAACGTCTATTTTCGTATGTGAATGTATATGTGTACGTGAATAAGGCAAATAGAAAGATGATCTGTGGATGTATGTTTTTTTTCTTAAGTCTTTGTGTTTGGTCACACTGCTTCGGCTTCCGGGCCCAGGGAGGTATGGTTTTGATGAATCAAAGGTGAAGCAGAATCCATCAAGAATTACAGCCTACTACCTCTGTTCTGCTAAAAAAAAAAAAAAAAAAAAAAAAAAAAGAAAGCGGATCAAATAGAGTTAGAATTTTTGATACTTCCTCACCAACTGAAGTGCTGACTTCAGGGGAGCAGACACAGATGCCTGGAAACCTCCGGAAGTCTAAAATAACTAGTAAGTAAATACATTAAGACAGCAACCCCAGGAGCCACATGCTCCATGTGTGCGTTTGTGCAAACCCATCCGTGTTGTGTAAACTCTCTGTCCCACGTGCGGCAGATGGAGGCAGAGAATTCTTGTTTGCGCTCGTGGGAGAAAAAGAAAGTCCCCTCTCCCCAGGCTCATTTGCATTTCCCCGGTGAACCGCGCAGGTCTGGACGTCTCCGGCTTTTGAGACCTCGGGGCGGGGGCCCGCTGCATCCTCTTCAGGGCTCTATTTTGGGGCTCCATGATCTCATGCCCTCTGCAGACCATACAGCAGTTCCAGTCCAGCCCTCGCGGAGAGGCCACGCGGGGCGATTCCTGCAAGGCTTCGTAGGCTGCCGCGATCGCGGGCGGGGAGAGGGTTTGGGGTGGAAGTTAAAGACACTCCCGAGTCAGGGACCCAAAATAGCCCACGCACCCAGGGCCCGAAATCAGACAGGAAGCCAAATAATCCGGGGCGTTGAGCGGCTCGGGGCCGCAGCTCCCGAGGGCCGGGAGCCAAGGGTCCGGCGGGGGCGGCGTGGGGCGGGGCTGCGAGCCTATTAAAGCTCGGCCCGCGGGGGCAGAGCGGGGCGATGGAGCGCGACGGCGACCAGGCTGGGCGCGGGCCCCGGCACGGCCCGGCGGGGAACGGCCGCGAGCCCGAGCCTCCAGCCGCAGCCTCGCTGCTGGCGCCCATGGACCTAGGGGAGGAGCCGCTGGAGAAGGCGGAGCGCGCGCGCACGGCCAAGGACCCCAACACCTACAAAGTGCTGTCGCTGGTAGGTCGGCGCTCGCCGCGACCCGACGCCCGGGGAGGGAGCGAGGGAAAGCAGAGAGCACCGTCAGCGCCCGCCACCGGGGAGCGTGGGCTCCTCCTGCGCCGGCGCGCGGCGACCTGCCGGGTCCCTGCCCGTAGGCGAGCAAGAGCGGGCTGCTGTAGCAATCACCTTGAAATACCCTCCTCTTCCTGCAGAGGGTACAGGGTTAGTTAGAGGCGGAGAGAAACAAAACAAAACAACAACAACAAAACAAACCAGGGAGTGTCAGGAAAGCGCAGCGACGTTTGTAACCTTCTGCGTGGCCTGGCTCAGGGTGCAGGTGCTCGTGGCTTTAGATGAGTTCGCTCCAGTTGAAAAGATTCACCACAGCATTTTAAAGTACCAGGAGCTTTGGAGAACACCTTGGTTCGGCTCTGCCTAGAGGCTCCAGGGGTATTCACGTTCTGTGACTGGGAAGCCTGGGATTTATTGCCCGGTCTTTTAACCCCAGGCAGCGCTGTTTGTGTCGCTGGCACGGCTGCCTGCTGTATTCCTCTGCCGTTTGGTTAGGACAGTTGGAGGATCCGGAGCCAACTTTTGGAAACAGGACACTGGTTTTCGCTCCGGGTCTTTCCTGGGTCAGAAAGGTTGAGTCTCTTGGTGTTTCCTGAGTTTCGGAGGAACTTCCGCTATTCCTCCTGAGCTCAGTTTTGTTGTACTGAAAATGGGAGCACCGACTCTTGCACATAGCGTAGTTTCACCAGCCTTCCTATGAAGCAGTGGATGAGGGCAAGAAGATTCAGAACCAAACGAAGATGTAATTGTTTTAAAGCATGTGCAAACCACAGGTTTCTGTGGCTAGCGCACCCTAGAACAGGCTGTCACACATTACGGCTTGAGCAGTGCTCTGTTGAAAAAAATCTCCTTTCTGGTGTTTTGAAGTCTCTTTCCGTAATCATTTCCGTTTCCACCGTATTTAGTATTTAAGGTCCTCTGCAGACACCATAGCACTTTTGAGAACCAGAATTCCTCGACTTAAGACATGGTGTCATATCCTTAGCTTTTAAAAATAAGTCTGAGGTTCAAAGGCGAAGTCTCCCAAACCACAGGCTGTCGCGTCCCAGGGTATAATTTTGTATCGTATGTCACTCATACGGTATCGATGGGCGTTTATTTAGTTGGGAGTCTGGTGAGTCTTTTTGTTTTTGTCTTTTAATGAAAGACCTTAAATGTTACCTGACTACTTACATTACTGTCGGTACCCTTGGGTGCTTAGCATTCGATGAGATTCTCAATAAAGACACACTGAATATTTATGAAGTTCTAATAGAAAACATGCGTATATACTCCCTAGAAGTCTTTAACGGGTTTCCCGTTGCTGAGTTCAGTTTCGCTCATTTGGTTATAGGCCCTGGAGAGAAGTCGGCGAAAGTCGGCCTGTAGAACACAGTTTCCACTCTTTGACCCCTGCAGTCAGTTGGTTGGATGGCATTAGAAGTGTCTCTGATGGTGACCCCCTGAGAAACTGTCTAAATGTGCCCCAGAATCTCCTCATGTAGATCAACTACGAATATTTGGTGTGTTTGAATGTGGGGTATTTTATGTAACATATACTGAGAAAGAATCCTTGTCTGAGAGCATTTTTTTAAAAAGATTTTTAATTTATGTCTTTGAGTGTTAGCCTATATATATGTTTGTGTGTGTGTGTGTGTGTGTGTGTGTGTGTAGCATGTGTGTGCCTGGTGCCCACAGAGGCCAGAAGAGGAGCTGCAGTTTACAGATGGTTATGAGCCGCCACAGGGTGCTGGGAACTGAACGTGGGTCCTCTGTGAGAGCAATAAGTGTGCTTACCTGCTGCGTCATCTCTCTGGCGCCAGTCTCATACCTCCTGGTGGGCTACTACGGAGAGACAGAAAATGCAAGCTCTTTGATTTTTTTTTTTTTTTTTTTTTTTCTGAAGCTCTTAGTTCAGGACTGAGCCAGAGTGAAACCTGTTTTGTTTTTTTTTTCTCTCTCTTTCCTCCCCTACTATAATAATCATCCATCCGAGGCTCTCAAAGGAATTTACAACTGTTATCAAAAGACCTCTGGGTTGATGTCTTCCAGAGACACCTATAACTGCTGGATTTATCTTGTTTCTTTTTTTCAGATTAAGCATCAGCACATTTTGTCCGAAGCTGAGGAATCAGGTTGGACTAATTGCATCCCGGGGTTAGGATCAGGAGAGGCCCCCACTCTTCCAGCCATAGAATTCAAATACAACAGGATAATCATAGGGTTACCGTGCAGAGGGAGGACGAAACAGTGGTGATACAACTTTGCGCTTTTCTCAGTTTTCCTCTTATTAATGAAAAGACTGTAGCTGCAGAAGAGTAAATGAGGAAAGCGCTGAGGGGAGAGGGGGGTAATCTTGTCCCAACCTTGCTTGCCTGGGTGATGCATGACTCCAGGACCTTGGCCTTGGTAATGATTCTGCCTAGGGACTCAGTAGCAGGACCAAGGAAACGGCAAGAGAAAAAAATAAGCCTGTACTTTCAATGTCCTTTATGATGTGTGTTAGCTTTCTCTGGCTCTGATGAACTCTGTTGGCAATGAAGTTGCCAAGAGAAAAGGCTGAGCAGATCATGGTACTGGAGGTTCCATTGCTTTGAGCCTCTGCTGAGAACATGGGAAGGCTGTAGCGGAGAATGGGCATGGATAAGGCAAGCACAGATAGAGCTCAGGATCTCATAGCCTCCCTTGAGTGAAGGTGTTAGGCCCAGCAAGAGCCTAAATATAAGAAGGTATGAAGAGAACTCAGGAAACTAATCATCCATCGATGCAAAAACGCAAGAGACTCTTCTTGACCATTGCACAATGGGGTCACCCATGCTGGTCAGCTAGGAGTGGCACCAAGAGACAAAGACCTTGGGTTTTTAAAAGACACAAGGCGGGAATCTCCTGGGGTTGCCTTCTTGGCGATTTAGGGTTGGAGGAAGTGTTTAACTTTTAAAATAATTGGTCGGTTCTGGTCACTCTTAGGTCCAGTCAGCCCTGTCGTAAATATCTGATCGTCAAGTCAGTTTGGAATTTCCTGCCATCCACAGTTAAATGTGGGAGCATGATTAACTCATCCCATGTCTGTTCTGAGGAGTTGGGGTTACAGGCTTTGGATCAAAGGTCAAGAGAAGGATTGGGGCCATTTGGCCCAGTTTCCAAACAAAGCCCATCTCACTGGTGCCAGCCGGTGATTTTTTCTCCATTTAGTAGAGATCTCTGCTTGTTCTCTTCCTTATCTCTGCCCTCACAGATGGCTAATGTCAGGAACTTTTTACATTCCTCGGTTCTCTGGAGAAGCACTAAGAGGCTTTAATTAACATGGGCCTAAAACTTGCAAATATAAGTTATAAGGCAATTAAAAGAAAAATAGGTTACAAAGTTAGTCTGATTCTTTCAAAGGCCATCCATGACTTCCAAATCTGTAGATTCTCAAATCTACCAGCTCTTAATAGCACCGCCCCTTGGGCCCAAGAATTTTAGCACTTGAAGCTTTAAGTAGATATTTACAATGCAAAATATAGCCGTGTTAGGTATGAAATTGCTTTTCTTGGTTCTGGATCAACTTTGAACTAAAATACTCACTTCTAAAGTTGGGCTTAGTTATTCATCTGAAAAGTCCCAGCTCCCTGTTGTAGTTTTAAAAGGACTGGCAGCTTTCAAGCATATTGAGCTGCGTGTTCCAGTTAGGCCTTCTTGAACATTGTTTTTGTGAGTTTGTGACTTTCTCCCATAATTACCAAGGTGAGATTTGCTATATGACACAGGCTTTGCTATTGAGAGTGGTAACTCTTTCCATAAGAGTTCTTTCTCAGAAATAGAAGTTGACCTTGGTCAACTGAGGCTTGGGTGTGAAAGGTTAATTCTCTTGGCTTCCATCCCCTTCCCCTTATCCTACTGTTAGACTACAACTTGAAGAGTGTTCGGAATAGCTATCTTAATCAGGTTTGGATTGACATTTCTCATTGATTTTTTGAATTTAATAATCTGCCTAGTTATAGTTTTAGTGTTTATTTCAAAATAATAGAGCAGGCTATCGTCAAAGCTAGAACAGTCTAAAATTTGGCCCTAAAGGTATTTGCTTCATATGCTCTAATAAGCAGCGAGGTTTGAAGAATTCAGGTACATTGTGTTTCTAGTGGGTCTTTGACAGTAGCTGACGCTCATTAGCATTTGGCTGGTTGAATGAATACCCTACACACTCTATTTCTAGTTAGAATCATACTTTGAGTTGGGAAAGAGCAGGATGGGAAGGCAGAACACTCAGTTATAAACTCAGAATGTGAGGAATCCAGATGTGCCTAGTACTTGGGTCTAGCTTCAGGGGTGAGATAAAAACTGGGATGGTGTTTTGTTTGGATGACGGTGATAGAGGAGGCCGTGAATGAGCAGGATGAATGAAAGCCAGCATGCCTAAGCAGAGACCATGCTAAGCCTGTTGTAATTTGGGTTCAGAATCATGAATGCAACACTGGGCTTTCTTGCCCTTTGGCACACACAGCTCAGGTGTGGCCAGGCTAAGATATATAAAGGAGCCAAAACAAACCTCCGTCATTTATGCCAGGAGTTCCTGTGCTTTGCTAACTTTGATGTCTTGCCCTGAATTCGGCCAGGGGAACTCCTGCAGAAGTGTTCTCCGTTCTTGTTTCCTATTGCTTTTTCTCTTCTGCTGTGAGGTATGTTCTGCTTTCCTGTCACGCTTTTTACCGCCCAGCTGTTTGTAGCACGTAGTTTCTTTCTCGGGAACACAACCGCCTTTTGTAATGCCCTTTTCATTTCTCTTCCATTTCACTTTTGCCATCTCCCTGTCACCATAACATCTTACTCATGACTCTGAGCGGCAGCTGTAGTGGTTGTGCTGGGCATGCTAAACACCATGGAGAGGAGAGAACTGGAGGCCACTCACCATACTAGAATATGTAAGAAGTTTTGGTTTCCCAACTCCTCATTTTCCCCCGACTGCTTTTTCTTTTTCCAGATAACAA